TCACTTCTGAGCACCACCCAACGTTTTCCCAGGAATCTTAAGACTAATCTTCCCCATGCTTAACATAAGATTAAATAAAAGATATAAAATAAGACCTCAGAAACTTACAGGGTGCTAGTCTTTGTTAAACTGAGAAGTAGCTGCTACTCTGTGTACAGGGCAACTGCCTCTTCTTGTTTTCTTTTCTTACCTCAATAAACTTAACCTGTCAGCTTGCTTTGAATTCTCTCCTGTGAGAATCTAATAACCCATTTGGCCTTCAGGCTAGACCCTAATTGTAGGTCCATTTTTGTGTATCAATCTCATTTCTGATGCCTTTTTTATCTTCCAGTTAACAGTGCTTATAAGTTCTCATTTCTCCACATTCATGATAACACTTTTTCTTTGGCTTTATTGTTTGAGAGTATTAATCCTACTTAGTGTGATGTGGGATTGCACTTCAGTTTTACCCAATGTAAAAACATTTTTATACTTAGAGCTTTATTGAGATATAATTTATATACAAAGGAATTCACATAGACAATGTGTACCATTTAATGAGTATGGATATATGAAAATACCTGCTACACCATCACAACAATCAAGGAAATAGACACATCCAACACCTTTAAGGGTTTTCCTGTGTCACTTGGTGTTCATGTGTGTGTACTGAGAACACTAACACAATATAAACCATCTTACCACATTTAGAATTTTTCTGTGATTTTAGCTGATCTATGTATGGGTAGGCATGTAGGCTTCTGTATACTAATAACATGGGTTCTGAACACAAATAGCATGTGTTGTATCTCAGGTGCAGTTTACAGCCATATGATTCCCCAAGGCTGGGAGTTTTCTTGAACTAAGAAATGCCAGTCACATGGCCATAGCTTTGAAACTATCAATGGAAACTCAGGTTGACCACTTATATGTGAAATCTAAAGAACATCTAAAAAATTGCAGTCAGAAGGAAAGAGTAGGACAATGGTTACCAGGAATTGACAGGTGTTAGAAAGGTGATATTGGTCAAAGAGTACTAACTTTTAATTTTCAAATGAACACATTCTGAGGATCTAATATGCAGCATGGATGGTAATGCATGGTAACTAATTTAATTGTGGTTATTACTACACAGTATATATATATATATATATATTAAATCATGTTTCACACCTTAAATACATATAATCTTTATTTGTTAATTAAATGCTTTTAGATTGAACAATAAGAAATAACTGGCAAGGGCATTATATACAATGATAGATGATGTGTGTAAATGACTTTGAGAGTATGGGTTAGTCTGGTTGTTGGTAGGATTTGGTTTTACTCAGTTGAAAACTATCTGGTGCTTATGGCCTGATTTTGTACAGAAATGCTTATGAAAACAAATAACTCTTGATCTCTAGTTCTGAAAATCCACACATTATTAGTGAAATAAAAATGTACTATTAATTTGGTTAAACACACTGAGAAATGCCTAATAGTGATTTGTTGAGAGAAATAGCCAACCAATTTCAAAATCTCAAGCTCAAATTTAAGAATAAGATAATTTTTATTTCTACCACAAAAGGCATAAAAGGATGTGTTGTGAGAAGAAGGAATAGGAATGGCCCAATGGGAGGGATTGTTTTTAGTTTCCCACTAGACTGGGAAGAAGACTGGGTCCTTCCCAGCAGTTTTTTTTTTTTTTTTGCAATTTTTGGCCAGGGCTGGATTTGAACCTGCCACCACTGGCATATGGGACCAGTGCCTTAATCCTTTGAGCCACAAGCACTGCCCCTCCAGCAGATCTTGATACCTCCAGCCTACCCATGTCCTGCTTGGGAAGTGACTGTGTGGCATCATGGTCCATGAGGGTGACCCCTGTGGAAAGTATCTCAGCTGTGCTCTAGTGAAGAACAGCAAGATCTGTTGCTGACACCTCAGGGTTTATAAAAAGACCAGGTTTGTTTCTGGAAATTAAAGATCCACAATAGAAATACGGCTTCAGAGGCCTAGAAATTTGCTTTTGAATATATAGAGAATAGTTAATTCTGTCATATTATAGAAAGAGATCAACCATTCTCATATTGTAAAAAACTCCCCACTCTCACAGGGATAGATGGGCAAGTAGGGACATGAAGTTAATCAGGGGGCATGGAAAGGGCCTGATATACACCATTCATCAGGGAAAAGATCCAGAAACCATTCAAAGAAGTGAAGACATATCTTTTTCTGTTAACTGAGTCCAAACACAGTCCTGTTTCCCAGAAGCTCTTTCCTACTACTTGACATCCTAGTAATGCTGACCATGAGAGCAGGTGTTCTGACCCAGCA